GCTCAGTTTGCAAAATTTGCCCACACTTTGCAGAAAAATGTTGACAAAACTTCACCTCTGCTTTGTCATAGAGAATAAATATGCCAACACTTTCTTAGAGGGCCAGACTTCGGAGTTTTTGTTTTAAATTTCTGGAAGAATAGAAGAAATGGTTCCCACGCAGACAACCACCTGCTAATCCCTTTGAACTCAGCTCAGAGTTCAAAGCGTAAAGGGGAGACTGACCCTGATTAGTTACCCTCATTCAGATGATCACGGGGTGCTGTCCCCGAGTCACTGCACACAATAGAGTGAGTGCCCCTTTCAGGTATTTTATAAAACAAAATCCTCAGTAACCATAGATCGATTTTGATGGATAGAAATTATATTTGGTGGACTAGGACATCACATTCACTACAGTCGGGGATCTCAAATCCATGTTTTTCTCGTTTTCTGCTCTTTGGGAAAAGAAAGGGCAAATTAACATTTAAATTAATTTATTCTGGTTTTATAGTCATTGTCCTAGAAGAGTGTGTCTCTCTAGAATCCCCTCTAAATATTGCTGCAAACCATATCTGGGGTGGGACATTTGGAATGCACATTCAGATATTAACAGTGCCACGGGCGGGGAGGGTGTAGCTCAGTGGTAAGAGTGTGTGCTTAGCATGCACGAGGTCCTGGGTTCAATCCCCGGTAATTCCATTAAGTAAAAAAAAAAAGTAGATAAATAAATAGGCCTAATTACCTGTCCCATAACCTTCCCCACCTCAAAAAAAAAAAAAGCTTAAAAAAGAAAAAACCGCTCCACGGAATCCCAGGACTGTGTTCCTCAGCCTTTATGACCTTGACACTTCTTCTTTTCCTCCGTGGCACTCACTTTTGGATGATTCTCTCAGGAGGCTTGTGACCGCGTTAGCGCGTTCCTTGGGATGATCTGGGCCATCTGACACTTCCTACTAATGTTATTGACTAAATGTCCATTACTAGTTACATCACTTTTTTATACATGTTTGTGTTTTTTTAAAAAAATTATCCCGTCTTTCACGTAGTCATCTAGAAAAGACGTGAACGCTGTAAAATTTTTCTTTTTAATTATACTTTTTGAGTGAAGAGGATTCAAAACTCAGAACGTAAACCTAACTGCTCTTCAGCTGGTCCCTAAAACAGAACAGAGTGAGTGGAAGTGGAAAGGCTTTGAGGTAATAAAGCTCACGTGGACCAAACTTTAGACTAGATCGTGTCCTTCGTTAGAGGAGACGGAAGAGATTTAGAACAATTTTCAATTTGCTTTATATTTCTAGCAAATTATGGAAAGGATACATGGGCTGTTTAGGGATTTTTTTTTCAGGGCTTTTGAAAGTAGAATTTGCTCTTTCCAACCGCTGTCATCAGCAGTCTGTCCTCAGTTGCTGAAGTTCTCTAGAAAGACACAGTTCTCAGCATTGGCTTTGTTTATACCGTTTTAGAAACCCGTTGTCAGATTGCAGTTTACAGAGGAAAGCACGCTTCTCTCTGAAGTGACTCTCCTGAGTGTGGCAGGCAGAATAATGGTCCCCAAACACGTCCATGGCTCGCTCCCAGGAACCTGTGAGCGTATTACCTTACGTGGAGCTGCGTGACTGTGATCCAGTTAGGGATTCTGAGATGAGGAGATTGTCCCGGATCATCCAGGTGGTCCTAGTATAATCACGAGGGCCCTGGTCAGGGAGAGACGGGGGTGTCAAGAGTTAGAGGGAGTCGGCGGGGGGAAGGTTTGAATGATGTGGAGCCATGAGCCTCTAGAAGCTGAAAGAGGCAAGGCACCCGAGGACTCCCGAGGAACGCAGGCTTGCCCACCCATCTGGGAATTCTGACCTCCGGGGCCAGAAGACAGCAAGTTTGTGGCTATGTGTCGCAGCAGCCACAGAGAACTAGTACCCTGAGGGCGTGGTTCTGTCACTCACTGACTCCTCTTGAGTGGCTGCCCTGTGCCAGACGGTGTTCTGGGCACCAGGGGTCACCGGGGAACAAGACAGACCAAGGCCCAGTTCCCCTGGAACCTACATCCCAGATGAAGGGAGAGATTGTGATTTCCGAGAGCACCCGGTTGGTCGCGCAGTGAGAATGCAACTGTCAAAACCAGAACCTGATGGGAAGAGGGGCTGCAGATGATGGGGGCTTCAGGCTCTCTGTCTGGGGAGGTGACATTTAAGCTGGGATCTGAGTGTCGAAAAGGAAGCAGCCATGCTGGGCTCTGGAAGGACACAGCGAGCACCGGCATGCAGAGCTGAGGGTGACGGCTCACCATCCTGGAGTCAGAGAGCAGGATGCGGCCCGACCCCCGGATCCCCCACCGTGGGAAGTCCTCAGAGGGGGGTTCTCTGCCTGGACCCGGGAGGACGGCGGTCTCTTCGGTTCCACTTGGCGTCACGCGTGGTACCCAGTCATCGCCCATCCTCTGCTTCTTCTTTACACAACTTCCTGGACAGCTCAGCAGGCTGTTCTGAAAGCAGGAGGAGCCTTGGCCCTGGAATTCACTCACCCATGCTGTGACAGAGCCCAGAGCATCTCCTTCTGTCATCAGATTCTAAATAGGCTTTGTAACCTGGAGCAAGCAGCCTTCCGGGGCCAACAGCAGCGCCTGCCCTCGTGGGTTGGTCTGAGGCCTCCGCCCGTGTCCACCCGTGTCCCCCAGCGCCCAGGTCTTTACATGCAGAGGAGAGAGCACTTCCGTGGTGGCTCCTTACAAACCAGCAGGGACTGCTGAAAATCACTCGTCCATTCTGTGTATTCTCATATCCCTTGGAATCTGACAGTTGACCTGGATTTTAGAAAATGTTTATTCCTGCCCTGTGGTTTGACCAGCTGAAAACAGCCCAGAAAGAGGACACTACCCACATGGGTCAAAAGCTGTGTCTGCCGAGGTCAGAGACATTGCACCTGGACACGGGGCTGTGGGAGAGGCGGTGCTGGGCCTCCCTTTTGTCTTCTCTTCCACATCTTTTTAAAAGAAAATATAGACCAACCCCGTCTAGCTATTAACATTTATTTGTAAATTGCTTACATATACAACTCAGGGCATTTTCTTGTTGCGAGATGTTTTCTCTAACAGTCTTGACTATTACTTAGGTCCTTTTGAGCCCCCAAATATTGGGCCGCCCAGAATTAGAGGTGTCAACGACCCAAGGGGCCCCCTTCCCAAAACTACCTGGTCGTTCAAGCTCATGAAACTCAGGAAAGGTGCGTGGTGGTCTGTGTAAAGTCTATGTCACCTTGTAAATATGTGTGGAGCGAGGCCCTTTAGTTTTCCTTTGTTTTTTAATGAATACAATAAGGTAGTTTACACTTAGTAATACCCATTCACCAGAAGGAAAGGAGGGGGTGGTTAAATCATTGTGTTTTTTGATGAATGGCTTGTACACCGAAAAATAAATTGGACAAACTGGCATAGCTCAGTGAACATGAAATCAGCTATTAGAAGAAAGCTTGTGAACAAATTCTGAGGGAGATATGCATCTTTTGATTAATGCCCTATCAATCATCCACACGGCTACCTCCGCTAAGTCAGGCTGTAATCATTCATGCTTGCTTTCGGAAGCACTGGCAAAAACTATAGCGCGGCCAGAAACGGAGTATTATTACTGATTTCTCCCTAACTTCCTGGGAACAATGACTGTTTTCAGCAGGTTTCTGCTCTCCTTTATTAAAGAAACACAATGCAGAGTGAAATTTCCAAGCGGGGGGAAATTCTCCCCGGGTATTCTTGGTGATATTCAGTCTTGAATGGGCAAGTGATTGTAATACAGGGTTCTCTGCAGGAATAATAGTAATGTAATCCCATTGAAACCACCTTTTGTGGATTGTAGTCAAACGGACAAAATGTGGAGTCGTGTTAATGAGCAGAGTATATCTTCAGAATTATTCTTAAAGTTGTTGAAACGGTTTGAATTTTTGTTACTGTAATTATTATATTTTCAGTTAACACGCTTAACAGCAACAGTAATTAACCCAGCAGATTGGAAAATCTGCGTGAATTCTACCTTTGTCATTACAAAAAACCCTGATTCTTTCTGGGTCTTAACACACTCGGACAGAGGAAATATATATGTCTATGTATCTTTTTTCCCCATTGATTCTTTTTTTAAGGAAGAAATTTTCATGAGTGCAATGATAGTTTTTCATGCATTTTTAAGCCATTGGCAAATTCCTCAAGAGCCCTTCCTTCTTTTAAGAGGAGTTGATTCTTAAACTGTGCTGGAGCAGAGGACTCTCTGGCACTGCCTGCCAGTCCAGAAGTCTTTAGGTAGTGGGGTGGCTTCCTCCGAACTTACTACAGGGAATACTGTGGCGTAATGAAGTGGTGACAGGCATTAGCATGTATAATGGGCGTTAATAGACATTTAATGCTGTTTAGCTAGAAGAGGGAGTTGCGCTCTCCCATTGGAATATTCCTCCATCGAATCCCATTGATCACCGATTTCAGCCGGGAGAGGTTAATCCATCAGCTCCTGTAACCAGACGGCACTGATGGAAATTCTTTAGGTGGCATTCTCGATGAACCAAGCTTTCCATCTCTACAAACAAATGAGTGATATGACAAGCACAGTGTTCAAAACACATTTAACCAATTGATTTTCTTTCCTCTTGTAATAAGATCTGGAGACATATGAAAGCGGGCAGCGTAAGCCGAGATGAAAGGAACCGCTCCGTGCACAGGGACGTCCGGGAGGGAGAGCGGATGAAAGTCCTATAAAGCATGGAGTCACCCGTCCTTTTTTTATATAAAGTTTGTTATTGCAATAAATAGCTCTTATTGAGCCGATGCCTTTTGTTTCCGTTCCGCTGAATCTTATTTTGGGTCCCTGTGGACGCCCACACGTGTCCTGCCTGAGAAGTCATCTTTCCCTGGGGAGTTTCGAGATGCTGGTCAGTGATTGTTGAGCACAGTCCTGATGCGATTCGGGGACGTAGCACTGGGTACCGAGGAGCTAGCCTCCGTGTGCCCCGTAAATGACGGTCTTCCCTTCATTTCTCACCCGCAGCCCCGCCCTGAGCTTCACCTACCCTTCTGCACCCGTCTCGCTCCACATGCATCAACAGATCTTAAGCCGACAGCAGAGCCTGGGCTCGGCCTTTGGACACAGCCCTCCGCTCATCCACCCTGCCCCAACTTTTCCGACCCAGAGGCCTATTCCCGGGATCCCTACGGTTCTGAACCCAGTCCAGGTCAGCTCCGGCCCTTCCGAGTCCTCACAGGTGAGAGCCAGCCCGATGAGGGCCTGGTCCGTGTTGGTAATTGGGGAGGACAGCCATGCTGCCACACCAGCCACAAGTAGGCACGGACTGTGGCATTTTCGCAGCATCTGTACCGCAGCTGGCCTTCCCCGCCCAAGGCTGTCGTCTTCATTTCTGATGACTGTGCCCTCCTGTGTCTGGGCTCCTCACGAAGCAAGAGCTTCTTTCACGCGAGTCATTTTACCCTTGGTGGCAAAGCGGGCTGCCAGACCAGGCTTCCCCCGACCCTGCGCTGTCTAGACCTCATTTGGTAGAAGCATGTGGTGCAAATGTGTTGTTGTCACTCGGTCCCTGTCCGCTGGTCCATGGGGGCTCGTCAAAGCCAGGTCCCAGCTCTGCTCCTCAGAGGGAGCTGGTACTCATGAGTCAAAACCAAGGAGCTGCCTCGTGTGGGTCTCTTCTGGCTTTGAACTCATTTTCTGAACGCTGCTCCCTTGGAATAGTAGCCTTATCAAGTCATCACTCTGGGGCCAAATCAGCCTGTTGGTCCCAAGTTACGTGTCTTAGCCGTGGTCCTGCTCATGGATCGAAACCTAACTTTTGTCTCTGTCCCGGCCGATGTGACCTGCAGAACAAGCCCACGAGCGAGTCTGCGGTGAGCAGCACCGGCGACCTGGTGCACAGCAAGCGCTCCAAGATCAAACCGGACGAAGATCTCCCCAGCCCGGGGCCGCGGGGCCAGCAGGTGAGGCTCCGGGCCTCGGCGGCAGCCTCCCCTCCCTCCAGCCGCGGTGTCTTTCGCAGCATTTGCTTGTCTCTTTTCTCCAGGACTTGGCCAAACCCAGGCGTCGGAGGGAGGGCAGGGGCTGGAGTCTGATTCTGTTTTGTTTCTCCAGCTCAGAAGCAAACACACAAAAATGCAGGCAGCCGTGCAGGGGTTATAAACCGTAGTTCATGGAGTCCGTGGCTGCATGCATTTGCCGCTGACCACGGATGTGACCCGGCTTCAGTCCTTGGCCCTGATCTTGGCCCTGAATGACAAGCCCCTGGCTGTCAGCCTGAGCTGGACAGACCAGGGCTGCTTTTCACCATACTGGTCATGTTCTTCTTCGTTCTTACTGGGCCACTTCCCACTGGCCAGGAGGGGTCTGGGCACAAGGAACCTAACCTAAGGCCACTTTCATTCTGGTTCTTTGCCCAGAGTCTTGAAAGGATGAGTTTAAAAATTCCAATCCAGTCTCTGCTCTTCAGCACTTAGATCCTGAGCCTCAGTTTAAAACTGTGTAAATTATGTCTGTAATACGATCTTCTGGGTTCCCTGTGCCTGATATGGAGCTCAGTGGAATATTAATTCACAGAGACGGGTTGGACAAGAGTCTGGAGTTCCACAAAATCTGGACTTTGCAACGGCCAGGCTGCTTCAGCCCAAACCTCAGACTGCTTGAGCCCACATGTCCTTTTTAGGGGGCACTCGGAGGATGGAGTGAATGGATGCCCTGGGTTCTGAAATCCATCCTTCCTCTTGCGTTTTGCTGGCTGCACCTAAACACATGTATACGGCTTTTGCCATCCAGCCCCAGATCAGATCCTGAATGTATACACTTAATGATCTGTCAGAATTCTGAAAATTCTTTGTATTTGCATTTCTGCAAAGGTGCAAAAATATTATGCTGCCAAGCTCTAGATGCTGTGGTCTTGGGCAGGGAGCGTATCCTCGGAGACCAGAAGTTGAACCAAAGGGACATTATCTTTATAAAAATCCCCAAAGTGCCTCTCACAGCCGCCCATGGCTGGGAGAACAGAGTTAGAATTTGCAGTAAACCAGATCCCTGGATTCCAAAATATGAGAACAAACAGATTATTGAAAAGAATCTAACTGGAAGAGAAAGACTGGTCTTTGGGGTAGAGGCTACCTGATCTAGTTGAATTGCTTTTCTTAAGGGATGGCATCTGAGCATCTGAGGCTTTTTTCCCCTTTGTATTCGGGGCAGCAGGGTCTGGCCTCAACTTCTTATCATCATTCTGGGTGGGACTGTTGTCTTTAATCACAAGTTAACAACCTCTGAAGGTGCACTGGGTACATCTGAAAAAGAAAAAAGCAATGCACACAAATGATTCCATATGCTGAACTTTAATTCACAAAACCCAGTTGAGAGACTTGGCCTCTTATTTCATTTTCCCCGAAAAACTGCATCGGGAAGGAGGACAAGCCTAAATCACATTTTCCCTGTCGCTTCTCGTCCGTCCTTCCATTGTGTCTGACCTCATCCCTCTCTCCTCCTCCCTTCCCCCCACCCCTTGCCTTTCAGGAACAGCCAGAAGGGACGACTCTGGTGAAGGAGGAAGGGGACAAAGATGAAAGCAAGCAGGAGCCTGAAGTCATCTACGAGACGAACTGCCACTGGGAAGGTTGCTCGCGGGAGTTCGACACCCAGGAGCAGCTGGTGCACGTGAGTGAAGGGGGCTGGGGACCCGGGCTTTACAGCTCTGTGGCCTTTCCCGCGGGGTCGGCTCCCCTGACCCCGTGCTGAGTCAAGTTTCTTAGCGAGCCGCCTTGCAAACTGGAGAGGGCTTTATGACTTTCTGAGAAAAAAGAAAACTCTGAGCCACAGTGCTTGACCTGTTCAGTCAGCTAAAGCTTAGTGTAAAATTCAATAAAGTCTTCAATAGAGTGTAATGACTCTGATCCTGTAAGCCAGAAAACACTATTTCGAGTTAGCGACTTTGATGGTTATTGAGTAATAGTAAGCTGGACATGAATTATTATTAACCTTTTAACCAAGTTTGATTTTAACCAAGACCCAGTCACAATAGAAAAAACTTGGAGATGTATGGGAAGTCCTTTTTTTTCCCTTTCTCCCTTCCTCTCCCGAACCCTCACCGTCTAAGGAATCTCCTATTATTTTATGCAGCAGTTGGTACTCTCTGTGAGAAGGTAGATGCTTGGGATAAACCACTTACTAACACAATTTCCTGACTTGAAGCCAATCCTTGCAAGGCTAATAGTTTCCTAGAAAAAGTGACATGTATTTTCTTTTTTTTTATTGAAGTATAGTTGGTTTACAACATTGTGTTAATTTCTGGTGTGATTCAGTTATACATAAATACATACATATTCCTTTTCACATTCTACTTCATTATAGGCTGTTACAAGATATTGACACAGTAGGACCTTGCTGTTTATCTGTTTTATGTAGAGTAGTTAGTATCTGCAAATCCCAAACTCCCCCTTTACTCCCCACTCCACCCACCTTCCTCCCCGGTAACCAGAAGTTTGTTTTCTGTGTCTGTGAGTCTTTCTGTTTTATAAATAAGTTCATTTTTCTCATTTTTTTAGATTCCACATGTAAGTGATATATGGTATTTTTCTTACTCTTTCTGGCTTACTTCACTTAGTGTGATGATTTCCAAGTCCATTCATGTTGCTGCAAATGGTGTTATTTTATTCTTTTTTATGGCTGAGTAGTACTCCATTGTGTGTGTGTGTGTGTATGTGTGTGTGTGTGTGTGTGTGTACACCACAACTACTTTAACAAGTCATCTGTCGATAGACAGAGTGCTGCTATGAATATTGGGGTGCATGTACCTTTTCAAATGGTATGTATTTTAAAATGTGTTTAATGATGTATCCTTTTGCAAACTGCAGCATGGCCAGATTGAGAACCTCACCTTCCCTTCCCACACCAGATTCAGAAGTCTTTCCCTTGTTCCTGTGTCAGTTATTACAGACAGTGCAGCACACTCACCCCTGTCTCCCCGCATACCTGATTAGCCCTGTCTTTCACCCGTGCTTCATTTTGTTTGGTATTTTCTTGGCCCAGTGGAGTCTCCCTGGCCAATGAGACCAGGAGCAACCGAGATGGAAGGGCATTTAAATCTTCAAGGATGAAAAGATGTTAGCTCACACATGCCTGTGCCCTGAAGGCGTTAAGGATACTTTGCTATGCGTCGCTGTTTCATAAGCTTTACATATGACAGGAAATCTGACAGAGCAGCTTTCATTGTGATTTCTTGCTCCCGTCATACGCACACACCATACACACCCCGCTCCATTCTCTTTGCTTTTACATTAACTTTTGATTTCTAGATGATCCGTATTGCTTGAGAACCTTCCTCCATTTAAAGGCTGAGGTTAAACAATTCGTCACACATCCCATGTGTTTCGTAGGCTGCACGGGCTTTTCTAGAGCACCTCCTGCACCCTGGCCTGTCCTCTGTAACATAGCCCCGCCCTGTAGTTACGTTACCGTGTCAGACCCGTGGTTTGCCAGGTTGTGAAGTCCGTCATATTCAGGATGTTTTGAGGGTTTAACGTGACATCAGGGTTCCCCGCCTCTATTTCTTTTTTAACTGTGTCTCCTTGTAGCAGAATAGGAAGAATTACAGATTTCTTGCAAGAAACTGGAGAGTCAAATGTTCTGTATGAAGATATATTTTTCCAATGAACTTAATTTGATCCTTTTCTCTTTAATTTGATGCAAGCGTTATTTTGTAAGCCAGGCCTGACTTAACGGCCTTTTATTCTTGCTGACTGTTTTAACGGAAACTGCAGACATTGTAACACTAAAGAGAAACAGAAAGTTTGGAATTTGTCCTTTTAACGTGGGGAAGTCATCCCAAGGAAGAGAGGAGGAGGACCCTCAGCAGTATAATGAGTAAACAGCATTCCCCAGAAGAACGGTTTGTACAAAACCTGTCGTCATGAACCAGGGGTTGGCACTGCTGCCTTTTAAAACTTCCTTCTGAGGGAGGACACAGTCTCACGATGCCTTTTCTGTGGATAAGTCACTGCAGTTTCCCAGGAGCGCTGTGATTTTGGTTGAGCCATTATCAAATGAGGAATGAAATAGGAGCTGATTCTGTCTCCATTTAAAAGGAATTGAGTTCCTGGTTAGAGGCCAGTTTTGAGGTGACATTTTTTAGGGTTGCAGTAACACTTTAACATTTTCACCGCCTTATACGACTCGTGAAGGCTTTTAAAAGACTGAATATTGCAAGTGTTTGTGTTTTTTTAATTGAAATCTAGTCCACTACAATGTTGTGTCAATTTCTGGTATACGTAATGTTTCAGTCACTCATATACATACATATAGTCCTTTTCATATTCTTTTTCATTAGAGGTTATTACAAGATACTGAATATAGTCCCCTGTGCTGTGCAGTAGAAACTTGCTTTTTATGCAGGTGTTTGTACTGAATCTTGGTGGCGAAAGGTTTTGGGTAGTGATCATGTTTTTACAGAGAAATCGGAGTCATTTTTAAGGCAAAGCTGCTTAACTTATCAACTAAATGGCCATCCTGTTGTCTGTTTTATCTTTAAAAAACATGTAATGAGTACATATGCATTGGAATTTTTTAATTCCAAATCAGCAAGAAGAAATTCATGTCAGACTGGAAGAAAATCCAATGTATTATCTTTATGGTATTAATTTTAGTCTGAGATAAATTATGTGAGTAAAGTAAACTTGGTTATGAGAATGAAAAATTGTAACTGACAGTAACATAAAGATACTTGTTTATATCGTATCTTCCACCTTTTTACTCAGTATCTGAAGTGCAGAAATTCCAAATTTGTGCAGTCAAATTGATTTTGCTTTACGTGACAGATACAAAAGTGCCTCCTCACTTAAAGTGCATTTGGTAATTCTAGCCATGGCCCCATCTAGAACGGGCACTTTATTTTTGGTTGATTGAACAAACAGCTAGTTCAAGACCACCTAATTACTTTGATGGCAGATGGAAAAATGATCAGTGGCAAAACTCACTTTTTAAGGGGCAGAGGAAAGCATGAACTGTTTGCGTCCCTCTGACTTTCCGGGATGAGAGAGGACGTTGTGTGAATTAGTTGAATTTTCATGCTCCGGACAACCAAGAGGCAAGGTGTTAAACCATTCTGATGCTCTGCCTTATTTATAGCCAGGACCCATTCTTTTCCCCCCTCTTACAGTTAATAGAAAGATTCATGATTCTTCATGGTTGTCTATCTAGTGTCTGACAGTCCCGACTGCCTGCGAAAGCAAGTCACTATCTATAATTGATATCCTTCCGTGGAATAGGGTGCTGGCTCCAATTGAAGGGCTTTGCTGAAAGCTCTTAAATCCTGACAAGTTCTCCCCTTGTTCTGGTTCAGTCGCTGAGCTGCACGGTTGGAATTTCAGAGTCATTTGAACTTGGTGCAGAAGGAAGACATGTGTTTCCCATTAGCAAATCACGAAGTTGAAGAGGGGAATTAGGGACGTGGTCGACTCTGCCTGCCAGGTAGTCTCATTTTCAGCCTAATGCACTCCATGTTCTCTTGCAAAGATTACCCCGTCCCATTACTGTGCGAACAGATGGGCTAAATCCTGCTTCTGCCTCCCCTTCTCCTTTATTTCAAGCCCCTGTCCTTCTCCCGTTGTGTGTTTATTCCAGGTTTGCTGTGGGGTCTTTCTCACTGGGATGCTTAATTAATTTCTCTTCCCAGCAAGATAATTATACTAGGGCTTAGTTACTCTCAAGCTAGTATTTAATTTGTCGTAAATCTATTTCTGTGCCCAGAAGCTAAGAAGATGGATGTATACTTTTGTTAGTTGGCTTTTTGGTGGCTGTCCTTTGTCTCTTTCATAGTGTCAGTTAAAACAGGAAGAAGAGGGTCAGTGGGATATTTAGTACAAAAATTAACTTACAGTACTTTTGATTAAGACAAAACTTAGTACTGATTTGTCAAGACACAAGCACTTTCTCTGCCCCGGACATCTGAAAGCGCATATTCTAGCGTCTCAAAAAAATTTAAAAAGTCCACGCTTTCCCTTCGATCCCATATGAGTCTGATGTCGTGCATCACAGATTGCGAGAGACGTGAATCTCACATCTGTTTCTGAAAGTTGTAGGCTGTCGCTTCTCAAAGTGTGTTTTCTGGTCTTACTTTGTCTTCCATTTAGCTTTTGTTCCCATGTAAAACAGCTCAAATTCTGTCTTCTGGCCTGGCTTCTCAGAGAGACGAAGAGGCTTCCAAACCATCCTGACACCCATTTCCCTCTCGTTATTAATTCTGACCTGGAAGTCAGTTCCAGCTTCGGCTCTTGGCTGATTGAGAAATAGCCAATATGCAGAGCCTGCAGCTTCTGAATGACATCGTGTGTGCCGCCAATCTTTCCAGAGGCTTTTTAGAAAGAGGGAAAATGAGGTTACGTGAAGAACGCGTACCTCGGTGTGGGTCCCCGCTGCTGGGTGTTCTCCTTATGCCTGGAAACGTCACTGCTGGGACCTGGAAGAATAAAAATGGTCCAGTCACCGTAGCTGATGTCCACCTGTTCACTCCATCACTGCAACTCCCTCACCATCTATTCCACCCATCCAACCTTTCCTTTCTGTTGAAGAAATAACACCTATAATATTTGTTCCAAAGGTCTTTAAAAGGTCAAATGATTTTTTTTTAACGATTTTATTCCCCACCCTGATTCCCAGAGGAA